CATCACCACAAACAGCCCCACTTCCAAACTTGCTGAGCCCTCACCCCATCAGATGACACAGCACATCATTCCAGGTTTCCAGCTCAGGTGCCCAACTGTAGAAGATATTTCAACATCAGAGAATTTCCTAGCACTGACTTCTTTTTTGCTTTCTTTATCAATCCTCTCTATCACTTACCTAACTTAGATTCTATCAAATCATTAGCTGACTTTCTGTTGCAAGTAATTTAAACTCCTTTGTCTTTCTGGCTTTTTATCATACCTGGCTGTTACGGAGAAAAAGCCAATCATGGAGGGGTAAGCCATCCTACATGCTGTTTTGCATAGTAAATTTTCTTGGGAAAATGCCACATGGTGCAGATTGATGTTATCAAAACACCACTCTCACAAACCTTCCACTACCTTCCACCTTTTGGTTCTCAACAGCTGAGCCTTCCTGCTAACTGAGAAAATGGGAGTCAGTGCACAGGCACTCCATCCTTATGCACCCATCTGTCTTCCTTTCCCTCTGTCCTTTCCCTTGCTGTGGCTGGTAGCACTCTCCTCTCCCCAGAGCAAATCCCTCACCATTTATGCTTAGCTCTCATCCACCTCCCATTCTTTAGAATCTTTAGGCTACCCTGTGTTTCAATGGTTCCTTGACTACTGCCCAGCATTTAGACACATTCCAGTTTTTCTCATTATAAAAAGAAACCAAGAAACCAAAACAAAACCAGTGTCTAAAAGTCTATACAAACCCTACATTCCCCTTAGGTGCTTTTATCTCTTCTCTGCTTTATAGCCATATTTCTGTTTCTGCTGTTTCTGCTAGCTCACATCTCTCAATCTACACAATCTACCTTGCAGGGTCACTAATGATCTCTGCATGCTAAGTCTCCACCCTGCTGCTGACCATGTGTGCTGCTGACCACACTCAAGACGGTGGTGCTCTTCATCACAGCTGCACATCTCCTTGAATTGTTACTGTCCTAGCTTTGATGACATCACACTCTGGCAGTTAGCCTTCTGCATGTGAAAAGTCATTAGTAATCTCTGTCAGTGTTTCCTTCTCTAGTCGACTTAAAAACATCAGAGAACCTCCTGGAGGTTTGCTCCTGAGCCTTACAACTGCAGTTTCATTTGCTAACCATGAGCTCAGGATGCTGACAGATTAGCCCTAACATTCTTCACGTTCCAGTATATCCCTGGTTTCTAACTTCCCACTCAACGCCTTCATCGGGATATCTGAATGTCATTTCAAACCCAACTCATCGTCTTGTCCCCCCGCTTTTTTTTTCCTGTAGCCACTCATCTCAAGAAATCACATCACATCTATGCCAGAAACCTGGGCCCTGACATCCCTTCTCTCTCATTTCATTGCATCCCCCCCCTATCAACCAGCCCTCAGTCTCTTAAGGAGTGCTCACCTGCTCAATGAACAGATGAGTAATTCATAGGTATTTCCTTCAGGTGCTCACAATATAGAAAAGAGGCTTTCATATAACCCAAAAATTCGCAAGATCATATGATTATATTGCATGAAAACAGTGATGGAGGCCAAGTCCCAATGTATGATGATATTATAACAACTATTTAAATCTCAAATACCAATACATCACAATTACTGAATAAGAAAACACTTCTCAGCTATTTCTTCTACTCTTTTTGAAATACGTGGAGAGATAAAGAGAAGTAAGAGTTGCCTTATAGGGCCGGTGGTGCAGCGAGTTAAGACACCACTTGCAGTGTCAATATCCCATTTGTGTGCCAATTCAAGTACTAGCTGCTCCACTTCCACTCCAGCTCCCTACTAGTGTGCCCAAGAAAGCAGTAGAAGATGATCCAAGTGCCTGGACCCCTGTCACCCATGTGGGAGACCTGGATGGAGTTCCTGCCTCCTGGCTTCTGCTTGGAGCATCAGCTTGGTGCAGCAACTAATGCAGCCATTTGGAGAGTGAAATCAATGGATGGAAGATCCCTCTTTCTGTCTCTGTCTCTGTCTCTCCGTCTCTCTCTGTCTCTCTCTCTCCCACTCTCCCTCTGCCTTTCAAGTGAATAGTCTTTTTAAAAAGAAGCTTGCCTTTAGTAAACATTTTTTTAAAAAGAGGAATTAATGATTAAAATCATAAACAATTCCCCAGTTAAGAAATATGCTTGTGTGATAGCAAATAAAAACAACTTTGACAAAAAAAACCACACACACAGGATATATAAATAGACTTTCTGAATTGCTTGTCACAAAGGTCTATAATACTAAATCCATAAACCACTACTCTCCATCAGCCAGCACAAATGGAACTCTGTGGACAGTACTCTACACACATTGAACTCTCGAAGAATGGCACTTAAATTATTTTCAGCACTAACTTAATGTTTTTGATTAAGTTAAGGTTAAAGCAATATTTAAATATTTACCAATGCATATTTATCTCCAGATTCCTGATGAGTGCTATAATTCTCTCCTTGTTGGAGCTATAAGGAGAGGTATGACCTTGACCACTGGGAAAGGAGTTATTACATAAAGAATATTTTACAAGGGACATAACAAAGAAGGAGTCCAAAAGAATATGAAGTAAAAGGTGTGAGACCTTGCCATTTCCCTCTTAAATTTTCTATGAATGAAATTTTCTATGATGAAAAATGTATTCACTCAACGGTGAGTCAGACAAGAGCCATCTATTAGGAAAGAGAAACCTGTATGTTCTGTAACAGTTTACATTATTGCCTAGGATACAGGGGGCCTTGATTAAATCTACATTTTTCTCCAGGAAATAGACACATTTCTCCAAAAATACCTTACTTGAAATTCTGATATTTAGAGATTTATTTGTCAAGAGAAAGTGTTCCAAATCACTTTGTCAGAGACCATCCCTGGCCATAGCACCTTCTCTTGCCTTTTACCACTATTCCTGAAATCATATTTCCAGTTTATTTGCTGATTGCTTGTCTCCCTTCACTAGAGTCAGTGCATCCACATTATCTGACTTGTTTGTCATTGAGTCCATAATACCTACTAGAGCGATGATTGGGGTATAATACTCCAGAAGAATGTTTTATAAATCAATAAATAATAGTAAAGATAATGATTAATGCTTGTAAGCATTACTGTAGTATATCTTCTTCATAGTGTTCTGAGTTAATCCCTATTTTATTCCAACTTCAGAATGTAGCTTATCTAAAACCAGCCTCTGGTCTCCTATTTCTAAATATTATGGGCTACTTGCTATATCAAGCAACATGATATAACTCCTAATTTATTTCAAGTTGTCTACAAGAATTTCACTTAGAAGGAATAAATCTGATGGTAAGGTTCCTTAATCAAGAAAAATAAATTCATTAATTAAACTCTCTTTATAGACTGGCAAATACTGGAACAGCAAATAACAGGCACGGCTGTAAGAGATCCTCAGAGGTCACCACTCAGGGGAAACCCCGTCACTATGAGCAGCCAGCACAGGCTCTGAGGTTGCCTTTCCACTATCGATTCCTGCTGTGTCTGCTAACCAAGTCCTGATTTTGTTCAGCATAGCAATGTGTCCAGCTAAAAATGTCATCTTTCCCAACCCCTCTTACATCCATATGTGGACACTGGACGCTGGACACCACTCAGGAAGTGAGACCTAGGGGAGAGGCACCAGAAGCATGTCTCTGGATGGCTTTCTTTCTTGCTGAAAGGGTGAAGGTGAGGCTGATGCTGCTCGGCCCTCTTCCCCATCTTTGAACTTTCTGAGATGCAGACATAAAGTTCACAAAGGGACAAGCACAAAGACAGAAGCAAAAGTGTTGAGGAAGGACAAGATAAAAGAAAGGCAGGGCGTGGACCTGTGACACTGCCAGCACTGGACCCACAGCATAGTAGTATGTCATGGAAGAAAAATAACCCTCTATCTGATGAAGCCACTCACAGATTTTTGTGTTACTTGCAGCTGAATATTCCTAGGATAAAAGAGCAATTTTATTTTACTGCTTTTTTCTTCTGTGAAATCAAGCAATTGCTCCTCAAAAAAAGAAAAAGAAACCAATAGAGTTGCACATGGGCATTAGTCCTCTTGTCATGTAAAGATGATGTGAGACATCAAGGCAAAATCAAGGCAGGAGAGACAGTGCTCACTGAAAAACGAGCAAGGAGTCCGTCCTTTCTCATTTCAAAATGGCTCTATTTGGTAACTATGAGTGAGGCAGCTGAAAGGGCTCCTTCTTCTGCTCGGGGTGGACAGAGGGGGTGATCATCTTCCTCCTGCTGAGGGGGATGCAGTTTCCTCTCAGAATTGTGATTGTATTTGGCATGGAGATGACCCACAGCAGAATGGTAGCACTGACATTGATTGAAGCAAATTTAG